TCGCGCGCGGTCTTGTTTCTCGTCAACGTTGCTCAACACGCGGCAGGAATAGGACGCAGCTCATGTCGCGCGCTGAACGTCTAGCCGCCCAGGACATAAGATGAGCGACAGGCGTCGGACGCGACGCACTTGCTTCTTATGTTGCGGGAGGGCGGGTGGGAGTGGACGGAGCCCTTTGGCTCGTTCGAGCTGGTTAACTTGACCCCCGTCCTCACTTCCTATGACTAAGCACCCCCCACATCCCCATCTAGCCGGCTGATAGCAACCCCGCCGTCCGAGCTGCCAAAAAAACGACACAAGCTCAACTTTGTTCTCACCAACATGTCGTCGAGTTGCGAACAATGTAGCAGGAATGGAACGGAATGAACATCGTTCTGGTGACCCTAAGCGGGTGGTCGCGTCCTTCCCATCAAAAACAATACAAAGTCCACGTTTTTCTCGTCAATCAACATGGATTGTCTTGTCGTCGACGCTGCGAAAAATGTAGCAGGAAGCGGACGCGGCGCACATCGCGCGCGGACGCCTGGCCAACCCTACGCGGGACCCCCCGTCTTACCTGTCAAAAAACACCGCAACGTCGACGTTTTTCTTGTCAACATGTATTTTCTCCTCGTCGGCGCAACGAATCGCGCAGCGGGAATGGGACGCCCAGCGAATTCCCAAGAGGCAGTTCCCTCTTCCTCCTCAGTTTCTCCCTCCCTCCCTCTCTCCCTCGCCTCCTCCTCCTCCTCCTCCCCCTCCTCCTCCTCCTCCTCCTCCCCCTCCTCCTCCTCCTCCCCCTCCTCCTCCTCCTCCTCCTCGTCCTCCTCCTCCTCCTCCTCCTCCTCCTTCCCCTCCTCCATGCGCGGCAGGAGCGAAACGATTGGCGGTGCGACGCGCGTGGCTGGAATGAGACGCGGCGCAGTTCGCGCGCTGGACATGTTGTCGCCCACGATGAAACCTGAGAGGCCGGAGCGGGGCGCGGCGTACATCGCGCGCGGTCTTGTTTCTCGTCGACGTTGCTCAATACGCGGCAGGAATAGGACGCAGCTCGTGTCGCGCGCTGAACGTCTAGCCGCCCAGGACATAAGATGAGCGACAGGCGTCGGGCACGACGCACTTGCTTCTTACGTTGTGGGAGGGCGGGTGGGAATGGACGGAGCCCTTTGGCTCGTTCGAGCTGGCTAACTTGACCCCATCCTTACTTCCTGTAAAAAAAGCACACCCCACATCCCGACCTAGCTGGCTGATAGCAACCCCGCCATCCTAACTGTAAAAAACAACACAAGCTCCACTTTGTTCTCGCCAACATGTCGTCGAATTGCGAAAAAGTGAATGGAACGGAATGAACATCGCTTTGGTGACCCTAAGCGGGTGGTCGCGTCCTTCCCATCAAAAAACAATACAAAGTCAACGTTTTTCTCGTCAACATGGATTTTCTTGTCGTCGACGCTGCGAAGAATGCAGCAGGAAGCGGACGCAGCGCACATCGCGCGCGGACGCCTGGCCAACCCTACGCGGGACCCCCCGTCCTACCTATCAAAAAACACAGCAACGTCGACGTTTTTCTTGCCAGCATGCGCGTTCTCCTCGTCGGCGCTGCGATTCGCGCAGCGGGAATGGGGCGCCCAGCGAATTCCCAAGAGGCAGTTTCCTCTTCCTCCTCAGTTTCTCCCTCCCCCCCTCTCCCCCCCCACTCCTCCTCCTACTCCTCCTCCGAGCGAACTCTCCTGGAAAGACAGAGTGCCGCCGCGCGCGGGCGCCCTGCGAGCTGCGCCTAGTGCAGCACCTCGAGCTTGGGCCAGGCCTTGAGACCTGGAGGTAGACGACCTTGCGCCAACCTTTGAATTGCTTACCCCCCTGCTTATGCGGGGGGAACGCAAACAGATTTTAATTTGCTGCGGGCCCGACGCGACCGACCCCCGCAGCGGCTGCGCCGGCAAATCCCGCTGGTGGATTTTAAGAAGGGTTGATGGATCGGGTGAATTGCTAAGATCTTGGGCCCACAGGGTTGTTTCAACCATGTGGGCATCCGAATTTGGACACTACCTTGCTTCTTGCACCTGAGACAGGCTATATTGAAACCAGGGGCGACTGGGGCAGCTAAGAGACAATGGGAGGTGGTGGCTAGGGGCTGCTGAAGGGCCTGTACACTCCTAAGGGCTCTCACACTCCTACGCCACTCCTTGGCCCCCTCGCCCTCCTTGGGGAACTGATCCTTGCGCCCCCGGTAGTGGGTCTGAATGGCCGAGAGGCGGTCGCGGATTGAGTCGGCCCGAATGTCGGCCCCCTGGATCTGGCGCACGAGCGAGGGGGGTACTCTTCGACGACGGGCGGCGCAGCTGGCGATCTCTTCGACCTGCTCATTCACATAGAGCGCCCGCGGCGGCTCCTTGGGCGCCTCTTCCTCCGTCGGGTGGCTTTTGACCTTCTGGAAAAAGAGCTGAGAGGCGCGGGCAGCGGCGCGCGTCCAGAACTTCTTCCAAGCTCGTGGATGTCTAGAGCGTCGGGCCCTGGGTCCTATCAGAAAAGAAAGCCTTTGATGGCGTGGAGGCAGTCAGTCACTATGACCATGGGTCCATCAGTGGTTTGGAGAAGAGTTATCACTGCGGCTAACTCTGCAAGAGGAACTGATTGCTGGCCTCGAATCCCCCCCGAAAGTGAACCAACAAACTGCATCGAGGTAGTCCAAAGGGCGGCTCCCCAGCCGCAGATACGAAGACGGGCATCCACGGCGCGCCCCCCTCCGCCCCCGTCGGCGGCCCCACGAGGATGCTGCTGAAGCTGAACTTAGTGTGTTGCTGGAAAGTACCGGTTTTATTGACGTCGTAACCAGAGGCATGCATTCTGGGGGCACTCTTGGATGGCCTGGGGGACGGACCCCCGGGCGTTCTGGATGGCCTCGAGACCCAGCGAGGGGGGCTCAAGGCAGGCCCAGAACTTGTGGAGGTCATCGGCATTCGGCTGCCCGCAGAGAAGGCAATCGGCTCTGTCCTGGAGCCCCGCTTCAAATCGGCGGCCTTCGCTCCAGCATTTCGAGCGGGCAACGGCAGACGTGGCAGAGGGGTGCAAAGCGAGTCTGGTGAGGTGTTCCTCCTTGGTGGCCCTCTGATCCCTGGTGAGCCCCTCCTCCTCCATCTTCTTCCTCTGCTTCCTGGTGGCTGCTGCTTTCCTGCGGGGGTAAAGTCGTAGTGACGCTATCTCTCCTCCTTCCTCCAGCCCCGCTGAGATGCGGCCCTTGGGCCGCGTGAGACCCCGGAGCCGCGCGGGGGGGGGGGCTGCGTGCGACGCAAGAAAAGCTGCTGCTGGTCCCAGCTGAGCGGCTTCACATGGAAAGCCTTTCCTGAGGGGCCCGACCACTGCCAGACAGAAGTGGGCCCGCAACCTACGTCGAAAAGCGCGGCGATGATCGCCGACAGGCGCGACTTCGCACGAAGCCGTCGATGCTGCGAATGTAGCTCGTCTCGAAGGTTGGACCGGGCTCTCTGAATGCCCCCGAGAAGTCCAAGCTCATCATTGAATCTGAACCAAGTCTGGAAAAGGTTCTTCCTGGGAAAGATGGCGGGGACGATTTTTGCGGGCTCTGCCTCGAGGGCGCGAAGTCCCGCGGCGAGGCGAGCCCCCGACTTCGTCTGGCGGCGCTGAAAAAGTAACTTCCGACGGGGAAGTCCCGTGACCGTGCGTGCCCCAAATGATATGAGGCTGAGCTCCCGTGCGATCAAGAGACCTAGCCTTCGTCGTAGTCCTGGCCAGTTTCCTGATGTTCCGAGCCCTGGAGAGCCCCAAGGTACGACGTTCCCTTTTGACTTTGAGGGTCCGACGGCGGCCCACTGAGGCGTCCATCCCGAGGTCCCTGGTGTGGCTGAGGGGCTTGATGTGAATACCTTGTGCCTGAAGGGCGCCCGCGACGTGCTTGCTGAGGTCTAGGTTACAGGCCAGGACGACTGGCTTGGCCGAGAGACGGCATCCTAGTTTAGCAAGTCCTTGGCAGAGGCCCACGATGCAACTGGGGAAGGCCTTCTTCAACATGTCGGGGCTGCCGACCAAACGAACTCTGATGTCATCAACCCATGTTCTGTAGTGGGCCTCGGGATCTGGTAGTAGGTTCTCTCAAGTACCTCGTAGAGTGGGGCCCTGGTCCACGATGCGCTCTGTCCGCATCCTTGAAGTACGGACATGAATGGAGTGATGGGGTCACTGACCCCGATAGGCGTAGTGAGAACCCTGACGGCAGTGTGGACCAGGGCCCCAAGGGAGAGCGGGACCACAGGGTAGCCTAACTGCATGGCCTTCTGGGAGATCTTCTCTAAATCGATGGTGTCGAACAACTTTTCGAGGTCGAGCACCCCCTCGATGATGCTGGCCTGCAGGGCTCCGCCTATCTCGGCGAAGACCTCGCTTATCAGAGCAGCCTGAAGAAAATCACTACCTTTGATGTGGGCGATCGTCGTGCAACGTTGGATCACGGTCACGAAAGCGCGGGGCGGGCGCCCCCCGCCCCAGCCCCCATGCCTGGGCGAACGGGAAGGGGCGCCGCGCGACGCGCAGCGGCGCGGGGCGACGCTTGCCAAGGCGATGGGCGCGAGGCGTCGCGCAGGCAGCCTTGCTTGCCTGGGCGAGCGCGCGAGGGGGCGTGCCACCCAGGGTTGGGAGGGGCGTCGTGCACGCGCGGCTGGTGGGGGGTGTCCCGCCATGCTCGGCGAGAGGCACCTGCGGTGCGGCTTGTGCTCTTTTCCTGATTGGATGGCAGTTGAATCCGAGGCTCCGCGAGGGGGTGAATTCTACAGGAATTTGGCCGAGGCGCTGAAGCAGAATGACGTGCCTCACTGGGCACACCTGCTCGAAGTGGATCCGAGTTCGTTGAGGGGCCTCGACTCGGCTGGAAAGGTGAGCGCTCGACGCGCGGTGTCTGATGGCCTGCCGATGCGGCCTGGCAGGTGGGATGCGTCAAGGCATTGGTCCGGGCGGCTCGCGAGCAGAAAGGCCCTGGCCAAGAGCAGCTTGCGCCAGTGGCGGGGGATATGTCCCGCCTCGAAGAAGCGCTGCGTGTCACGCGCGAACCGACCGCCAAGCACGTGGCGATTGGGCCGACATTCACCAGGCGGGAGGTTCCAGGGTCTCGCGCGCGTCGCCGGGCGTCGGTGCGTCAGGCGTCCCTTCGCGATTTGCCGCCGGCCTTCTGGCCGTCTTCCGCGGCGGTCGACGCGCTGGGGGCCCAGGCAGCGAAACTCCGGCGCGAGGGCGTGGCCCATCCGTATGCGTCGCCGGACCTCAAGGCGAGATCGATATGCGCGCGTCTGCGCGGCGCGACCCGTTGGAGCGCGCGCAAGGCTTTCCTGCCGTTCTGGGCTTCGGGCAAAGCGCCGGGGGCGGAGGCGGATCCCTCGGAAGCTGGGGCCCAGAAGGGGCTGCTACCATTCAACCAGTGGCACGCGACCTTTGATGCGCACGCGGCTGCGGCAGCGATCCTGGGCGACCAGCCGAGCTTCATGTCACTGTGGTGTCATAAGCACCACACGCTGCAGGTGCCTTTTGCCCGAAGTGCGCGGCGGCGTGGTCCCGCGCCGGCGCGCCGCAGGTAGCCGCGCGAGCGAATTCGCTCAACGAGCGGCCGCACTTGGCGCTGCACTTTGACGCGGTGGCGCGCCGCTCGCGGGCAGAGAGATCCAGGGCGGAAGGCCCGACCTTCGAGGCTCCGCGACGCGGGTGTGTCTTTGCGCTCGACCCGGCCTCCGCTTTGCTTTGTAGGTAAACCGCGCTGCACAAACGCGGGGCGATGGCTTGCTGCGCGTGGCCTTAGCCGCGTACGACGCGGCGGAGTGCAAGCAAGCGATGGCGTCGGCTCCTCGTCAGGGGCCCCCAGTTGGGAGCGACCGCGGAGGCAAGGGGGGCCAGGCGAGCGACCGCCGGGGCGACCTGTGCCCAGCTGCGGGGTCTGCGGCGAGCGGGCACCGCGGCGGCTGGGTCAACCGCGGGAGCTGGCACGCTGGAAACCAGAGCGTGGGAAAGAGCGAGTGGCCCAGCAAAGGAGGCCGCAAGGGCAAGCGCGGCAACTCGGCGGCACCAAAGACGCCCGAGAAGCGCGGCAAGCGCTCGCGAGGCGAGTTTGGTATCGCGGGGGGGGGCCGCGCCTGTCGACCGCGTTCGCATTGCCCGCCAGGCCTTGGGCCAGTGCAGTGCGCGATGGAGGAGCCAGCTGCCCAGCGAGTGAGCGCTGCCGCGCGCGACGTGAACGCCGGGGGGCGATGCGAGCCTCCAGACCGCGCTGACAATGCACAAGGGGAGGCGCAGGCATCTTTTGCGCCATTGCTGCATGAGGCGTCCTTGGCGGGTGCAGCCGAGGATGCGCCGAAACTCGGATTCACGCGCGGCGCGTTGGGATCTGCCCACGCGCAGCTGGCTTTCCCTGTTGCCGATAAAGAAATCCGCGACATCTTGACGGTCTGCGGCGACCGGCCCCAGCGATGCTGCGCGCGCGAGGGAAGGTTGGACCCGCGAGATTGAACGCCTTGGCCGATCGTTTGAAGACAGCGGCGAGGCGGAGGAATGGCGCAGGCAAGCGCCACCGCAATTCGGGCAAATAATTCGCGAAGTCAACATTCCGTTGTTCCGTGCGCTCGTTGCGCGGTCGGAATACGGAGACACAGGCGTTGCGCGTTGCTTCACGAAGGGTGCGCCAATCATTGGAGCGCTGCCGTCGACGGGGAATGGCATTCCCGTGCTAGGGGAGGGCGCCTGCCCGGACGTTGCCGCGCTGCGTTCGGGCGCGGTGGCGCATAATCAAAAGATTTTGAAGTCAATGCGCGAATCCGAGGGAGCGAGCGCGCTCCTAGAGAAGACGCGCGAGGACGCTAGTCTAGGGCGGATGTCGCGGCCGATTTCTTTCCCGCCGTCGGCGACTGCTGCCGAGATTGCGCAAGTCAGTGGAGACGACGCGCGCTTGCTGCCGAGATTTCCCGCAGCGCAGTGTAAGCCTGATGGGAGCGTCAAAATCAGGCCCGTCGATGACGGCAACCGCGCCGGCATTGCGGAAGCGACGCTGCCTGGGGGGAAACTTGTCGTTGACGGGCTCGATCGTGTGATTGCGGCGTGCCGCGCCTTCTTTGAAGCGAACGGCGTAGCGCCGGCCCTGTGGAGAGTGGATATAGATGCCGCGTACAGGCGCATCCCGCTTGCCCCAGGCCACGCGTTCGCGGCGTGGAGCGCATTCCTGGCGGACGGCCGCTTGTGGGTCTCGCAGCATTTTGTACGCCCATTCGGAGCATCTGGTTCCGTGTACGGGGGGGGCCGAGTTGCCGCTTTCCTTCGGCACGCTGTGCGGCGCCTGTTGCGGATCCCAGCGGGGCGGTATGTCGACGATCACTTTGCCCCTGAAGCCGCAGAATCGGTAGCGCATGCCGCGGAAGTTTTCGCGCGGATGGCGCGTGCCATCCTTGGGCCCGGCAGCGTTGCCGGCGGCAAGCTCGAGTGGGGCAGCGAGCTTGTCGTTCTTGGGGTTCACTTCGCTCTCTCCGGCGCGGGCATCCACTGCGCCCCGTCGGAGGACAAGGCGCGCAAGTGGGCTTGCGCGATCACTCGCGCGCTTGAGTCAGGAAAACTCGAGCCGGGCGCGGCGTCAAAGCTGGCCGGGGCACTTTCCTGGGCCAGTCAATCGCTGTTTAAGCGACTGGGCAGAGCTTCTCTGCGACCGCTGTTCGCGCAGCAGCGCGGCTGCGGCTCTCGCGTCAGGACTCCGCTGCGCATAGCGTTAGAGTGGTGGCGCGAAGTGTTGGATGCCGGTGTCCACGAAGTGGCGGAGTGGAAAGCCCGCCCGCTGGGCGCGGCGCATTTGTTTGCCGATGCGCGGAGCACCCCGCCGCGCGCGTCGGCCGTGCTGTTCGCGCGCGACCGCGTGTGGTATACAGATTGGGCGCCGGGCGCCGCGGTGTTGCGGCTGTTCGGGCAGCGTGGCGACAATCAGATTATGAGCCTGGGGCTACTGGCCATCGCTGTAGCCACGTCGTCTTTCAGGCATCTCTTGTCGAACGCGGCGCCAGATTTTTTTTCCGACAGCCGCGGTGCAGAGCAGGCGGTGGCGCGAGGCTCCGCCTGCCATTTTGACTGCACCTGCCTCGCGCGCGGGGTGTGGGCGTTGGCTGCCGAAATCTCGGCATCCGTGCGGGTCCATCGGGTGCCTTCGGCTGCGAATATCGCAGATCCGCCATCGCGTGAAGATTATGGCCTGGTGCGCCGCATGGACGCGACTTACGTTGAGCCAACGTTGGACAACCGCTTCTACGCCCCTCAGCCGTGGGCCTCGATCGCAAGGGCTCGCTGAGTGCTGCTGACTGCTTCGGTTGGGTGGCGCGGGGGCACGCGCGTCGCATCGTGTCCCGCGCGAGCCTCGCAGCGCGGAGACGTGCGGGGAGATGTCAGACGCGTCAATCTTCGCCCATTGGCTTCGGGTGAGCGATTTGCGGCGCCAGCCGCTTGCCTTTTGTCAATATTGTCGTGTTTCTCAAATCACAGGATGTGCTTCGCTGGAAGCATTTGGCAGACGTCGACGCCGATTTCAGCCGGCCTCAACTTTCACCGCGCAGCAGCGATGTAATAACCAGGCGGCGCGCCCGTGGGTCGCTCACCACCGTGCGTTGTGGCTGCGCTCAGGGCCATCAACGAGGCGAGGATACAGAGGGGCATGCCGGCGCTCGAAGGGTTCCTTTTCGGTCGGTGCAAGCGCTGCAGCGAAGTTGAAGCAGCGCCACCCACGCGCCCCCCTGCCGCAGGGGCCTTGGCGGCGGATGGTGGAAGGCAGGACCGCCCGAGGCCAGGTCCTCCTCCCGGCCCTCCGCCCGCAGGCAGCGGTGAGAGCGCCGCAGTGCGCCCGCGGCCGCCGCCGGGGCCGCCACCTGGATGGCGGCCGAAGGCGCGGGGGCGAGGCCGGGCTGGCGGCGCCTGAACAATTGTGCGAGGCGCTGTGCCCCGGCGGCGCGCAAGGCGACCCTGCGGAGGGCTCGCGAGCTCGAGGAGTGGTCGAGGCCGTGGTTGAGTATGCTGTGTCGTACGCGAGTCAATTGGGCGCGCCCAGCGAGGGGCCACGTCGCGCCCTCGACGGCGTCGCTGTAATGAGCCCGGCAGAACGCCGGCGCTGTGCCACGAGGGCGCGCTCGGACGCGGCGCTTGGCAGCTGTCCTCGTTCGGCGCAGAGCTGGGCGTCCGCAGTGCGTTGGTGGTTGCGCTTCTCAAAGTGCGCCCTTGGGCGGGATTCGCCTGTTCCCATCAGCGCGGAGGACCTCCAGATCGCCAGTGCACTTTTTCGTGTGAGCGGCACGTTCGCTAATTATTGCGGGCATTGGCGCACGGCATCAGAGCTGTCATCGGCGTTGACGGCCGCCTTCGGCGATCGGAGCGCGAAGCGGGCGCGAAAGGGCATCGCGAAGAGGTGCCCGACAACCCCGAGAGTTAAACGTTTCGTGCAGCATGCCCTCCTGCCCAGAAGCGTTGAAGCGAGCATCGCCGGCGAGGTGGCCGCGTCTGTCAGAAGAGACGTGGCGATGCTCGTGTGCTTCGGCTACGCGTTCCTGTTGCGCTTGCCGAGCGAGGGCTTGCCAGTTGTCTTCGATGGCTCGGCATTCAACGTGCAGCGCCGGGCATCGGTGTGCCTCTCAGCAGAGGCGTTAGGTTTGCGATTGCAGCGGCGCAAGAATTCGGAACGGCCTGAAAATTGGCGCACGTGCTGGTGCCATGCCAGAGGCGGCAAAGGCGCGTGTCCAGTGCACGTCCTCGGTGCCTTCTTTGAGCAAGCGGGCGTCGGCGCGCAGGCCTTCGCGTGCTTCTCTCCCGCGGAAGCCGCGGCCGCCATCCGGATTGCTGTCAGAGCGGTGGGCGAAGCGCGCCAGGAGGAATTCGACGCGAAGGCGCTCCGCCGCGGTCATGCGCTCGACTTAGTCGAGCGCGGGGCAGGCCTGGCCGAGATACTTCGAGCGGGCGGCTGGCGGAGCGCTGCCTTCTTAGAGCATCTGCCCGTAGAATCTCTCGAGCGGGGCGCTACCCTCGAGGCCGGGGGCAATTGTTCTTCCGACAGCGACTTGCATGGAAAAGCGTTAGCGAATCTTGCCGGTTGGAGCGCGCGCGCTGGCGCCCCGGCGGCGCACGCGCATTGGGTCTGCGCCTGCGCGCACGTAGCGCGCGCGGCTGGGCCTCCCGCCGAGCGCCCAGCGCTCCGCGGCATTGGGCGGTCGCACTGGGCGCTCGGCTGGGCCGACGACGCAGGGAAGTGCCCGAGCCACCTTCAGCTCGGGGCACCGTTGCGCGCGGCCAGGTTCGAGCGCTGCACCCATCGTCGCGGTGCGACGCGCCGAGCCGTTTGGCGCCCGTGCCAAGGTTTTGTGGTGCGCGATCATCGTGCAACGTTGGATCGCGGTCACGAAAGCGCGGGGCGGGCGCCCCCCACCCCAGCCCCCATGCCTGGGCGAACGGGATGGGGCACCGCGCGACGCGCGGCGGCGCGGGGCGACGCTTGCCCAGGCGATGGGCGCGAGGCGTCGCGCAGGCCGCCCTGCTTGCATGGGCGAGCGCGCGAGGGGGCGCGTGCGCCGCCCAGGGCTGGGAGGGGCGTCGCGCACGCACGGCTGGTGGGGGGTGTCCCGCCATGCTCGGCGAGAGGCACCTGCGGTGCGGCTTTTGCCCGCCCACCGCTCCCGCGTTGGCCATTCGGCTTGGGGCGTTCGCACTGGGCGCTCGGCTGAGCCGACGACGCAGGGAAGTGCCCGAGTCACCTTCGGCTCGGGGCACCGTTGCGCGCGGCCAGGGTCGAGCGCTGCACCCATCGTCGCGGCGCGACGCGCCGAACCGTTTGGCGCCCGTGCCAAGGTTTTGCGGGCTGCGTCCCAGAACCCAGCCCTAGCTTCTTCCCGGGATGAGATCTGGCCTTGGAAGAGCCTCATGGTGATCCGATACGGCGCACTGGCGAGGGTGATGGGTCTGTCACTAACCTCCGTCTTGGGCTTCAGGGCCACGAGATTGACTAGGCACTGGGCTGGGTACTGCTGCAGCCTACATATATCATTTATCAGATCGGTTAGGATCTCCAATCCTGGTTATGGTAGCCGGCGAAAATCTGCTGTCCGCCACTGGTCGGCGCCAGGCGCCGAGCTCGCTGGAAAAGACTTGAAAGCGGCAGAGACCTGTGAGATGGAGAAGGAATTGCCCTGGTCCCAAGAGTCCCGTGCCTGTTGCCTAAGCTCTCGGATCCATGGGGCCTCGGGGGGGATCTCTAACTTGTTTCCCTCTGGGTCCCAAAACTTCATCCAAGATTCGCTTTTGTGATCTAGCACCTGGATGGGGTCCGAGACTACGGTGCCATTGCCATCTGCGAAGATATCGTTGTCCTCCGCGGAGGTGGGACCTGGGACCTTCGTGATGTGGTGAGCTCCGCCACCACCGTGTGCGAGGGAGTCCTCGAGCCACGACTGGAAGGCAGCGTCCTGCTGCCGCAGAGCCTGTTTCTCATAAAACTGGACTATCACCTCTAGTTGGAAGAGGGCATATTCTAGACGAGCTTCCTGGAAATACCCCAAGAGGTACTGCTTTACCTGGTCCTGAAAGTCCTGAAGGGTCCCTGGGGGCCACGGAAGGCCCTTGTCGACGACGTCGTTGAGGTATCCCTGGAGCCTCTGGAAGCCTTCTGAACCAGCCTTGTTGTTATTCTTGATGTGGTCCCTCTCTTTGGCCCTTTGCTGGAGTACCCCCCACTGGTGACTGGCAGGATGGAGTCGCTGCTGATACGGAGTGGGGGGAACGATGTCCTTCCATTCGCGTTGGAAACCTTCAACTCGTTTGAAACTGGGCGGAGAGCCGGGTGAACTCCCAAGACACCACCCCTCCAGGGCCTGACTGAGACGAGCGTAATGGTGTGTCAGGTCGGGCGAGGAGTGGGCTGGTGCGAAAGGGTGGGAGATGGTCATCCTCTTTCTCCCCCTCCTCCTCCTCCTCCTCTTCCTCCTCCTCCTCCTCCTCCTCCTCTTCCTCCCCCCTCCTCCATGCGCGGCAGGGGCGAAACGATTGGCGGTGCAACACGCGTGGCTGGAATGAGGCGCGGCGCACGTCGAGCGCTGGACATGTTGTCGCCGACGATGCAGCATGAGAGGCCAGAGCGGGGCGCGGCGTACATCGCGCGCGGTTTTGCTTCTCGTCGACGTTGCCCAATACGCGGCAGGAATCGGACGCAACTCGTGTCGCGTGCTGAACGTCTTACCGCCCAGGATATAAGATGAGCGACAGGCGTCGGATGCGACGCACTTGCTTCGTATGTTGTGGGAGGGCCGGTGGGAGTGGACGGAGCCCTCTGGCTCGTTCGAGCTGGCTAACTTGATCACTGTTCCCTATTAGTATACACCCCCTTCCCCCAGGCGGCGGCCGGGAACCAACCCGAGACCATGCGCCCCCCCCACCATCCCTTTGGCACAAAAAATGCAAAACACACTCTGCCTCCAAATTCGGAGCATGCGCAGCGAACCCGATGCGGCCTCCCCCCACCATCCCTGTAAAAAAACCATTCAGGGTACCCTTGGTGGCAACGGCGGCTGCGGCGGCTGCGGCGAGGGCAGCGGCTGCGGCGGCTGCGGCGGTGGCGGCGGCGGGGGAGGCGGCGGCGGCGGGGGCGGCGGCGGCGGCGGCGGCGACGGCGGCGGCGGCAGCGGTGGCGGCAGCGGCTGCGGCGGCAGCGGCTGCGGCTGCGGCGATTCGGCACCGGGGGCGGCGGCGGCGGCGGGCGGCAGGGTGGCGGCGGCGGCGGCGGACAGCGGCGGCGGCGGCGGCGGCGGCGGCGCGGCGGGCGGCAGCGGCGGCGGAGGCGGCGGCGGCGGATTCGCCCCCAGTAGCTGCCCATCAAATTATCCCGGCAAAGCAACCTAACAGCGATGTGTAGAAGCATATCTGAAAGCATTCCCCTTAAGATTCAGATGAAAATCCAGTTGTAGAATTCTGCTGTTCTCGCAGTCGTAGTCGCATTCGCGATGACAGTCGCAGCTCGTCCTCGTGCTCCTCCTGCTCGTCCTCTTTCTCCTGCTCCTCCTCCTCCTCCTCCTCCTCTTTCTCCTGCTCCTCCTCCTCCTCCTCCTCTTCCTCCTGCTCGTCCTCGTTCTCGTCCTCCTCGTCTTGCTCGTCCTCCTCCTCCTGGTGTCTCTTCTCCTCCTCCTCCTCCTCCTCCTCCTCCTCCTCCTCCTCCTCCTCCTCCTGGTGGTCCTCGTTTCCTCCTCCTGGTGCTCTCCCCCCACCTCTCTCCTCGTCCTCCTCCTCCTCCTCCT